TTTACGGCATATCAACCTCAATGGGTTATTTAATGCCGACAAGATTTTTATTGCTGGTTTGGTTTGCTTTGTTTTGTTTTAAGGCATATCAACCTCAATGGGTTATTTAATGCCGACAAGATTTTTATTGCTGGTTTGGTTTGCTTTGTTTTACGGCATATCAACCTCAATGGGTTATTAAATGCCGACAAGATTTTTATTGCTGGTTTGGTTTGCTTTGTTTTACGGCATATCAACCTCAATGGGTTATTTAATGCCGATAAGATTTTTATTACTGGTTTGGTTTGGTCTATTTTGTTTTACGGTATATCAATCTCATTGGATTTTTTATTGCTGGTTTGATTTGGTTTTCTTTAGTTTGATTTGGTTTGGTGTGGTTTGGTTTACGGCATATCAATCTGAATGGGTTATTAAATGCCGAAATGATTTTTATTGCTGGTAATATTTTTTTTTCAAAAATGCATAGCTGGTTTGGTTTCGTTTTGTTTAGTTTGGTTTGGTGCAGTGTGGTTTGGTTTGGTTTACGGCATATCAACCTCAATGGGTTATTAAATGCCGACAACATTTTTATTGCAGGTAATATTTTTTTTTTAAATATATTGCTGCTAATATATTCTATCCTCAAAATGTATTACTGATAATATTTTTTTCTTCCAAAATCTATTGCTGATAATATTTTTTCGTCAAAAATATATTGCTGGTAATATATTGCTTGTAATATTTTTCATTCAGAATTTCATTGCTGGTATTAAAACATATTTTTACACATTTATAGTGTTTTAACCCCAGTTAGGGGGTTACAATCTTGCCCATAGTTGGGACCTTTACAGTTGCTACCACCCCGAGTCATGATAGACCTGCGAACACCAGGAATTAAGAGGTGATTCCACGCTCCTTAGTTTTGGGGAAAGAATGGGCAAAAAAAAACTCACCTACAAGGCTGCTTAGACGGGTTTAAACTCTATCAAGACCTGAAAGGGTTTCAGCAATTCTGGTCATGATCTGTCTGCAATACTGTATTTTTGGTCAGATCTGGTGCAACTAAAGATCGGGCATGGTAGATGGAGTCAGCTGCCTACTGGAGCGGTTTCGGGGACTGATTCATTTTTTTCCGTCACGTTTAGCGGTGGATCATATGTAGTCTGGGGAATTAAGTGGCCAGATGTGGTCGCAGGAATTGTCTGACAGCCATGACTGGGTACTTCTGCTTGTGTGGCATAGGGCTGAGTCCTGCTGCCAGATATGAGTTCTTCCAGTTGCCACCCTCTTGATGCAGAGCAGCACTATCAAGTCACTCGATGTAGGCCTCCGGGTTGAGTCTGAGGCCGTCACCAACACATTCGGGAGTTCTTTCCTTATCAGAACGGTGAGAGTGAGTTTTCCGAGCCGCTGTATCTTCGTAATCACCATTAGACTCATCCAGCTCTTTCCGAATCCTCTGCGCTGTTCTCAGATTGACAACGAAACACTCTGAAATGTTTGTATTGGATATTCAAGTAAGAATTCCAAGAGTACTGCATGTTGTTTCCAAATTTCTGGTTAGGGGTGAATTGCGTCACGGAGCTCATTTTCTCACAGACGGTGCCCAACTGACCCTAATATACTGTGCAGTCGACAAAATTAAAACAAGCAACGCTCATGCACGTAATTAACAATATAATATGGCGACAATTTACCCATCGCACCGTGTATATAGTTTCTTTCTTAATATTTTTTTGCATGTGTTTTTTGTTTTGTTTATCTTTCCTTCTCTGTTTTTTTTTTCATTCTTTCCTTCTTTCTTCCCTTCATTTTTCATATCGCTTTAAATATATTTCCTTCATTTTTTTTGTCTTTGTTTGCTTCTTTCTTTCCTTTCTAGCTCTAAATATATATTTACTTTCTTTGCTTGCCTTCTTTTTATTCTTTCGACATATCACAATATATATATATATATATATATATATATTCTTTCTTTTCTCTTTCGTCCTTTCGTTTTCATATTCGTCTCTTGACAGATCATTGAACGAAATTTCTCCCCCATCCCCAAAGCAGATGTCCCCATTTCCTAGTCCCGTTTCCAGCGAGGATTTGATTGAAACAAGGGCAGCCGCACACCGACATTTCTAAAACAAGGCGCTTGCTAATATTGCCTTTCTTTTAAAATGAATGCACGTCAAAAAGGCGGCAAGCGGTCATTGTCACTTACAAATTGGAAATTCTTCTCTCAGTGTTATGTTAGATACAAGATTCCCTCATCTTTTATACTCGTCCAGTCCCCACGCCAGTCGTCTCTTTACCAGCGTCTCTGTAAAAGCAAACTCTGATCGAAAGAAAATGATAGAATAAAGATTTTTTGTACCTGAATTTCATTTATCATAGCCATATTTCCTCATATTCTGATGGCAGGGAAATCAAAGGAAAAATACAAAACTCTTTCGACTGCATGCGTTTCGTACTGCTTCTTCTTAACAACGGTTCTAGTACGATCACCGATGTTAAGCAGCATTAGGTTTGGTCAGTATCTCTTGAGAATACCAGGTGCTGTAAGATTGGATGTGCGGGTGGTGTAATGGACAATGTCTCGGAATTGTTAATTGGAGTGCCGAGTTCGAATCCTCGATGGGTTCATTATATTCACTCACTCGAAAATACCATAGCAAAAGGTATGCATGAACCTCTTCCTCCTCCGCCTATGAGTTAATTATTAAGACATATAT